ACACGTGCTCGAACAGCCACCTGAAGACCCCACCGTCGGAGGGAAAAAATATGGCAGCTGAGAGAATCGGAAAGCACGTGCCAGGCAAGGAAAGGGGTAAGGAGGACGGTCGTTCAAGATTCAATGGACTTCTGGGATAAGGAATTTATTATGCGGAGGGTCCTACTTGGGACTGGCTGATACTGCGACCATTCAAACCGAGGTCGTGCACCGTCTGCGTGGCTTCGCATGAAAATTGATCGACACCTCCTATATGAACGACGGGAGAAATGTAGAAATCAAGCCGCTACTTTTTCTTCTTGTAACATTTTGTATATAGAAAGTAAAAATAATCATTCGAATATGATAATGATTATCGATGTTCAGGGATGAAGAAAATACACCATCCCCTTCACGACGTTTATAGACGAAGCTTGCGGCAACAGAATGAATGCAAGGACATATCGTTTAAACTAGCGACAAAAACTAGAAAACTGTATATTATTATGCGTTGACTGGCTCTATTGGCGTAAGATATGCAGTCAGAAGAAACGCTACTCTAGAGTCTAGAGTACTGTAGACTATCTTCAAGCCCCGTAGCACGATTTGGTTCGCGCTCTAATTATAAAGCACGCCGGTTCTCATAATCCCTTGCCGTTTCCGGATTCCGGAAGATCGCCCGGCTCTTTTCGACCTGAATGGAACGGTTGCGAAACAGTCGGAGTCTCACTTTTTCAGATAGAAATTCTCTGCACGAGGGAAACTCTATCACCTATTTATATCCAAATTCACTCCATTGATCAACTTCGTTGCAGAACTGTATCCTTTAATTTAATTAATAGCCTCAAGTAGAAACGTTAAATAGTCCCGAAGAACAAAGAAAATGTTAGTAAACATAACCTAGAAACGGATCGTTATCGAGTGAATGGATAATGGCAACCCTCTTTCGCCTAGATTTACACCTCATCCTGAAACACAATATGTAATGTTGAACTTTCTCTCGTGGAATACAGACTATAAAGTTCAGGTTTACTACTACTTTTATTGCTTCCTTTCAGAATTACTCGTGGTATCGGACTTCGGATCGTAAATATTAAATATTCTTCCGACGTTTCCACGTGCATAGGTTAATTCGAATTTATACCGTCGGACATGGTTAATTAAGCAGCCACTCGCGAGTCGAACGTTTCGTTAATTAGAAAAGAGGCAAGGTTGTCCAATAGCGTTTCCGTTGAAAGGTGTCGTTTACCTTGCTTCGAAATGGGGATACTCGATCTACCGAGTGTCGACGAGTCTCTGGGGGAGTTTGCTGTTCTTACTCGAGCCGGTTGATAACGATAAGCCCAGCGCGATACCAGAGCGTTATTTTTAGACCGGGAATAAATCAACGGGAGTGAAACGCGTAGATTCGCGCCACTGGATTCTTCAATAAAGGTACTATGGTAAATGTCCCGTTTACTGCCAGTGTCCCTGATACTGCGACTTTACTTATTTTACTTAATAAAAACGTAACGTATAAAGAATCGTGTACAGAGACGATTTTTAGGTTTAACAATACGTAAAATGATTAAGTAAAATTACGCAGCACTCTTAAGATGGCAGTAATTGGTACACTTACTCTATATGTCGGAAGAAACTTTATTCCAACAGTGATTACACTGCCCGAAAACCCGAAAGTGCCCCTAGACGCGCATTCTTCGAAGCACGACCGTGTGTGTTTTATGGGGCTTTATACGAAATTCCCCTTAAAACCGACACCCCTCATTACAAGACACTCTCCGCCTGCATATGGCGACTTCCATTCCGTTTGGCTGCCCTTCCACGACTTCTCCTCCTACCCTTGATTTTTTTACATCTCGCACACTCGATACGCCAGATTACCCCGGATTTTCGGGAGGACTTCCTCTCCTTCGAATTCCTGGTTGTTAACTTCCCCATTAGAACGTTCGTTTACAGACGAGGTTTAATGGCTTCTGACGCGGGTGTGAGGGATTGTTGAGTTTTTTCGTTGCAGATTGTAAAAAAAGGTGTACCTCAATTATACAACCCCACATTTCTTCCTTAGTACTTACACTTGGAAACACAAGGAAATCACTAGATCTTCTATTCTTGTTTAAGTTGAGACGTAATCAGAATTTTCTGTAATAATAATATCGTTTAACTTTCGAAAAATTACACTTCCAAGAGTCATAAAATGGCCATTCGAATGGGATGGTATGGTTGCACGCTTGTTCATTAAGTCATCGAATTTGTCAGTGGTCATAGGGTTGAAAGGGTTTCGAACTCGACCACGATCGAAACCGAACGCGAGGATACTTTTAACCGGAACGAGCACCTCTTTGGAACAGAAATATCCCAATGTGTATTTCGGTTCATAGCGCATCGCCGGCTGGAAGATATTGATGTCTCGTAACGGGGTGGCATCTATCCGTAGTCGCGGCTGACGAGCCACAGATCTCCGTTTGACACTTGTACCCGCTCCTCATCGGGGTTTTTCCTCCCTTCCGCATTATTTTCTCTTTGATTAGCCGCCACCGCCATGGGGGAAACCGGCGATTGACCGCCCCGTTGGAACGGTATCTTTCCTGGACCGTTTCTCAGTCGTCATTTGTGTCCCTCGTGTTCGTCGAGAATGCACGAGTTCCTCTGTACTGTCTAGACAAAAACCTTTTCCAAGACGAATGTCCAATTTGCGACTGGTTTCAGATCTTTTAGCGAGCATTACGATAACAAATAATTTTGTTTATCTAAACCAAAGAAACATCAAGAAAATATCATTTACCTTCAAAATGGTGTCCATCAGCTGCAATACACAGGTGTAAACAGTTAAGATACTTCTTAGTTTTATTTATGAGGTATAATAACCTTATAAATAATTTTATTTATGACAGTAGAATAATCTAAGCTGATCACGTTTCGAGGTCCACCCTGTATACATAGTGTATAGGGAACCAGGATAATTTCGGTAAAGCTTCGATCGATCCCGCTGAGGGAATTCCGATTCTTCGGGCAAGAAGTGCAGCTTTCGTAACCAACACGGCAAAAACAACGGCGATCGGATTCTCGTTGCAGCAACACCTGGGAATTCCGCTTGGAACCGCATTTTTAAGTGTACTGGAATTCCAGCGATGAATCAGAAACCACGTAGCGCCAACGAGGCGCTGTTTCCTCCCGCGGAAATTCAGAAACCACATGAAAATCGTGTGTATTTGAACGGGGCGGGTGTTTAGGCGAGCCAACGTGCACGGTAGGTATATGTATACGCTTTTGTTGGAGAGGCCAGCACTCGTTGGAACTCAGAGCCTATCGATTCTCGGTTCTCGTAAAACGCCACCAGGAATTCGACGCCGACAGCCGTGTAAGAACCTTGATGTTTGTTTAGTTGGAACGCAAATAGGAACTCTGGCGCCGGAATCGATTATAGCGAAGGGGTATCGAGAACGAATCGAAGTCAGAGATAAGCCACGTTGCGTGGGAAGGTTCGCGGATTTTTATAGAATTTGTATACCCTATCCTAGAAGTTATGAACTCTTTTTTGTTAATCACCCTGTATATTAATATAAATATTAAGGCATTAATGTACCTAATGTTTATTAGACACTATCTCAAACAATCTGCTCAAACGAACCACTCAGAGTACTCAAGCTATTCAATGTAAACAATAATCAATTAAAAGTATTCATAGATTCAGGATCATTTAATATTTACTCGAATTAAGAAGAATTAGAACACGTTTGGGTACACCAACGAGAAGTCCCGTAATTGGCAGAGGACAAACGTTCGTCGAAAGAGGAACCCGTATTAATCCTCATTCAAAGTGTCCAGTTTAGCTTACGATCCGAGCGTATAGTATAATATAAAAGGGACATATCGACGTCATAAACGGCAGTGAAAGGATAATCCTCGTATTCTCATCGAAACGTGACAGTACAGCGTGGCTGGAGCTTAGCGAAAATCTGAACGAGATCAATCGGGTTTTAGCAAGTACATCGTGAAAATCATTGTACGGACACGTACGAGGCTTGCGGCCATTTCCACACTCTCGGGGGCAGGCCGTTACAGTCGGACATAAAGCTCCGCTTGTGGTCATAAAATCGACCTACACGTGTTTTCGAAATTTCGAGTGGTAGTTGCAAATGGGTCTGACAGCCATAATATAAGTCTTCGGCTTGTAACATCTGGCTATCGACAGGTCAGAGTCTGGATCGCATAGAGCTTAGAATCTTAGAGCAAAGAGGTCTGTAAGTAGAAGCTCTGAGACTTTCTCATCGACCACGAATGAAATTATTCAATATTATTAATAATCATTCGTGGTCAATGGTCTCTCTAAGATTAGGATTCTATTGTAGGGTAATTGTAAAAACGTTATGTCAAATAAATATCAATGGCTACACCTGGTCTAAAATCTTCGAAAATAGATAAAGACGTTAAAACTCATTTTTACACGATACCTCCGTATTTATTACTGTTGTGGACCACCGAAGCATAAACGCAGCCGCGATCTTGACACATGAATACACACCAACGTGTGACGTACATACATCTGCGAACGGGGTGATCTGGTGTCTGGTTTATTTTCGGTGAGCACATCCCCCTCTGTAGCCGGCGTATCTGAGGGGTTGATAGCGTTTTATGCGGCACGCGTGGCCAACGTCTGTCTCCGAGTTAATTATGGACTAATTGTCAAGCCCTCTTGTCGCGCCTCCTGAGCCTTTACCATTTTTTTTTTTATTGCTTTTCTTCCGACGCACAGGACGTCGTCTTCCTTCCTCTCCTTTTCACCCTGGGCTGTTCTTGTTTCCATATGACGTCCCATCTAATCCTTTCTTAGAACATGCTTCCTCCTCCAAATCAGCATCAACCAAAATATTTTTTTAATCTTTCAAACCAAGGATTACGTTGAGCTATCATTAAGAAACAGTGGCTAGACTTTCATTGAATTTGACGTAGTAAAATAGCTCACACTCTTAATTATTTTATGAATGACATGTCCCTAACCTAGACATATGTCACCATTTCAGACGACCATAAAGGTGTACGCGAACTGCCTGCGGCCAGGCATCGAGTACAAGACCCTCGGCATCACCTACGAGACGACTTGCCGCGAGGTGGTCCAGAACTTACTGAACAAATACCGAATGAGGCACCGTGATCCCAGGCTGTTCTACCTCACCATGGAGGTCACCGTAAGAAGACCAAACGTGAGGACAGTTCTGCCTCTAGACGAGGACGCAAGGCCAGCCGTTTTGCAATCGTGTCATCCAAGGGGCGATTCTAGGTACGATCGAACTTCTACTTCGTGGCATTCTTTTCGCTTCCCCTTTTCGGTTTCGGTTGGCTTCGCGATGTAATTTCAGGGCTCGCGACCGACCGTAAACGCGACTTCTTGTGGGTCGGTGAGCACGAGCCAACGACGAGCAACGTCCTTTCGAGTGGGATTCCCTTTGTTCTTGGCCTCGAGTCGTCTGGCTCGACCACGCGAGACGCCTTCATTTGTGCCAACAGTTGAGGGGAAACCCTCCATTTGCTGAGATTTTTACTTAAACTGAAGGGACATCGGTTTTGTTCCCTTACTTGCTGAAATTATGGTACTTTTAACCCTTGTCCTCTGGATAGCCGATTACTTTGATGGACTGCTTGTAAAAATGGATTTTCTTTCATAATTCTTAAATAATTTGGGAATGATAGGGTTAAGTAAAAATAGATTCTGAATATTCCATAAAGAAGGGAAACGCTCGTTTAGATATCACACCGGAAAGAACAAATACACAATGAACAAATGTTTGGGGACGAAGTGTCGAAGCTACTGTCGCGCGACAGAAGGCCTCGAAGTCACAACCGATGTTTTCTTGGTAGCTCGAGACTTCCGGCGAAGGTATACGTTACGTAGACGGCCGGTGTTTGACTAGAACCCGGAGCCCGGTGTTTTTACGTAGAAGTAGTGTTCCCCCGATTCCCTTTGAGCTCCACCGACACCCCCAAGATATCCAGGATTCACGGATGTTTTCTTGCGTTGCAGATTCTCGTTGCAGACACGCCGCGGCGGACTTGTGAAAATATACGACAGCGCGCTCATGTCCGGGGTAAGTCAAGCGTTTAAGTCCCTTTCAAACATTTCGTCTCCTCGTGGATCGCTCTAGCCATCTAATTCGCGAACTTGTTACCTTCCATCCTATTAGGTTCTAATTTGCTCTACTCAATATATTTCTGATCTGTTCATCCTTCTACGTGCCTACTCTTATTAGTAGACTGTGGATGCTTATGAAAAATTATAAATTTAGGTAATAATTTATAGACACAAATTTGAGGCAGAAATTTATTTCCTGCACTCTGTGTCTTATGTTGATAATAATATATGTGTACCTACATATTAGCAAGGTTTATTGAATTCTTTATTTTACTATATTTTGCATATTAAAATTTCCTATACTATGCATAAACAGCCGCAGTCTACGTATCAGTGATGGGCGATACAGTATCTTTAATATATATAGTAAATTAATATATATATTAATTTAACTATTATCTGTCAAGTTTTCATAGAAAAGAATGATTCACTCGAAAGGAGGTTCTGATTATTAATTTCCCGTTTGCAGTCCAAGTACAAGAGCCTGTTGGTCTCCGAGCAGACCACCGTAGACGAGCTCATCCAGATGCTGTTGAGTTGCTACAGCTCGAAGGAACGTGTCGAACAGTTCTCTCTCTACGAGGTCTGCGAAGGCGAGGAGTACCAAAGGAAATTGCACCCGGACGATTCACCCCTTAAGGTCACGCAACGATGGACAAGCGTTGACCGCCATCTTCGTATAAGGCGCAATCCTGACTACAATCCACACAGACGAAAAGTGAGTGGTTCCATCCTTTCGATGTTTCGCGATTGTTTCGCATAGAAAACACAAACAATCGATTGCTGACAATTAACAAGAAGCTAAACAAGATACCGAAATCTTTTTCACGCCGTGCGAACAAAGACATTCTTCGAGTTGGATCTCCTCCAACAACGATCAAACGTAATTAGGAACGAGCGCATCTCGCCGATGTGCGTCACCCTTACTCGTCGTCAGGCATTATTCATAAGAATATAATAGAAAGTCAAATTCGTTACACAATCGTACTGTTCGCAGAGCATGTGGGCGTCCGACTCGAGCATCAGCGTGGCGATGTCAAGACTGAACCTCCACGGAAGCCATCCAGCTCACTATAGTCAGCCCCACGACAACAACCGTATGTCGTTGTACCACAAGGACGCACCGTCGATCAACAACAACAACAACAACAACAACCACAACAACAACAACAACAATATCCACAAAGTTGACAATCATCATCTGTCGCTGGGCTCGTTGAACCAACAACCAAGAATTGTTGTTCCCCACGCAACCCAGCTGCCCCAAGTGCAAATGTCACGGATCCAACAATTGGCTCAAAGTGTACCGTCTACACCGATCACCTCAAAACACGTCACGGCGTCGTCTTACGCGGACTACGAGAATTATTTGTTCATATAAGGTTCGAACCTTATTAATTTAAGGTTTAAACCTGTTTAATAGGCGGCAACCATTCGTGCTTATTCGTAAAGGGACGAGTTGTTCTGTGGAGTGTTAGGTGTTACCGTTGTTTCAACGCGTTGGACAGTATTTGACGGTACACTAATGGCAATTACACTGCCGAAAGTACATTCGAGGGTGTTCGCCGACGGATGTCGAAGATCGAGATTATTTATTGTTGCAGCTGTTCGCCTGACGAACGAGCATACCGACGAAGCATGGATTTCTGTGTCTCGACTGGTGTCGCGTCGGTAAGACAGAACAAAGAAAATTTAACGATTATAGTCAACAGCGAGAAAAATTGTACCAAAGGTAGACGTACGGAATATTAGGTATACATTATACATATAATGCATTCAGACGTAATACATATGTGTTAATGTTCTACGTTATCATAGAAAGATATTTTAAGAGAGTCGAAATACAGTTAGAGAACGATTTATAGTCGTTCTTTGAGATTGATCCTTCTTGATTAGTTTAAACTACATCACACGAATATTTAATCGAGTTTGTCATATAATAATGATGCCTTGAAGAATTGGTAACAATTAATATTTAAAGAAGATCGCATATATCGGCGGGTACAGTTCAAGTCAGTTCAGAAGGATTAAATGTGTATTTATAGAAACTGCATTTACTCGAAAACGCCGTAAAACGCGTTTATTATTTATTTATAATAACTGTAAAGTGTCTAAGAGGGACAGAGCTTGGATGTTTAAGTTATTATCCGGATCCTGTTATGGAAATTTCGTCGTGCAATCCGATTAAACAGGATTCGAGCTCGTGTAAATAGGGATCGAGTGTAAGTGACGAGTATTCGATGACTTTGGCAATTAAACGTGTGGTCAATTACGGATACAAACCTTAACAGTTGTGTATGTGACACGTCGTTCAGTTTCATTCGTTTATAATCGACGATTTTTTTACTGTTCTCGCATGGCATTCGAACGTGTTATATTTTTTTACGATTCATTTTAAATAAGTATCGGAACGTTTTCTGCCTCGTTCGTTTACGTTTTTGTCAGGGGTGAAAGTTGGATCCATTGCCAAAGAATCGGTATGATACGTATGTATAAAAAAGCCCCGTAGATTCAACTTCGCAAGAAAACGAGCCGTCGGAAATAATTTTCATCGATTATTCACGAATTTGTCACGCGCGAAGAACGTCATAAGATCGCCGTGGCTTACCAGCAACTGTAACAAGTACAATGAACCTTGTATTATTCTAATACGACACCGTAGATTGTAAATATCCTTTTGTATCGTCGTTTATAGTTCACAGAAGGAAGTATCGTTTCACGTGGCTGAGCGTCGTCTATTTCATTTCGATCACCGTCTACCTATGAATACACAAAAATGGAACTTCTTCACTAATAATTGAAAAACGGAATCAATATCTTCGAATTGTATCCTACCTACCTAGAGAGGATGCTTATTAGACTGAAATCGAGGAAAGAGGGCGGTTTCCGTGTGATGATAAAAATTTTATTTACAAATGCGACAAATGTAGGAATTTTGGGCACCAGTGACGTATCGGAGAGAAACGAGCGATTCTACAGTTGGTCGATTATTATCGGATCGCGTTACTTTCAAACCTTCGGCTGTCTCATCCCTGAAATTTTTTAATCTCTCTACCTCACTCTCTCTCACTTTCACTCTCATTCTCTTTCTGTCTCCCCCCCCCCCGCTCTTTCTTTGTTCCGAGCGTGAACGTGTCGACGGCACGTCGTTCTCTCCGTGAGATCACTGATAGAGGAGAGAATCACTGAGATGTAACAATAATAAACTTTACATTAAATACGATTAGAATCTAGCTATTTTGTAAGGGCTATGCGGAGTGTTACAGTAATAGAAATATTCATTTTCCAAGGAAAAAGGGGTATCGTTCACGGGACACTTTTCATCGTCTTGGGGAAAGGGAGGTCGGAATAGGGAGTCGTGTCTAGGGAAAAGGAGGTGGGGGGTTGGGGGAAATATACTTTTTTTTCGTTTTAAGTTTCAAAGGATAACATCACAGCATTGACATATCAACATCGAAACGATCAGAGCATCGCGCCCGTCGAGAGTCGTCGACGAAACAAAAAAATCGATTTCCAATTTATTTCTGTTCCTCCATTACTTTCGGGGGATAGACCAACGAGACGCGTCGTCGAGGAACTCCCAGGGAGCGCGGTGCCACGGCCGTAGCACTTTTCATTTTTGCTATAGAACAATTTACAACATCTCGTTAATTAATCGCCTCAATTCCATCTCCCTACAACCGCAGCTCGCACACACAACACTTGAACCGGAATACGTAATCTGTTTTCCTTTTGTCACCCATTTCTCTCGTATTTTATATCTTTCTCTCATTATCTTACACACACACACAGGCTCGCTTCAGTTTTCTCCTTTCATCTGTAACACTCGTTACAATTAGAGAAATTGTTAATACGAACAATAACGACGCGACCGATACAACTCCTCCATGTCACGTTTCTTCCTAAATAACACGCATACATTTACATTCTTTCTTTCTATCTCTTCTCCTCACTGCATTCGTACAATCCAATAATTCTCCGTATAGTGCAACAACAATGAAATAAAATTCGCTTGAGAAAAACGAACAGATCGCGGATTGGCCTCGACTTCTCGACTCGAATCACCTTCTGCTTTAATCTCTCCCCATTTTTTTTTCCAATTCGATATCAAGACCAACTTTGCGAGGGAACAATAATAATAGACAATATACATAGGGGAAAACCTTTGATCCAACGAACCAGACGCAAAAAAGAAACAAATTCACCGAGGACACGATACACCTAGCCCGCAGTTTCAATTCTCGCGCGTCCTAGATACGATTTTCGAATTTTCGACAGGCGCGCAGGGGCGGTGGTGGGACTTCATCCTCGGGGCGACGCCGGTTGATTCGAGCCGACAATCGTTTATTTTACATTTATTGGGACGGCGCGGGCAGCGCACAGTGATATATGTATAATGACTAATTTTTTTCAAATCAGTCTATGAAAATCAATACATACTAAGTTTCTTCCAAATAAGCTCATTTTCTGAAATTTCGATTCGCTATATTGGATTCTCCATTTTGAATTTCGAAAATGTGACTTTAAAAAAGCCCACAGATACTGATCATTTTAAAAATCTGTATGCTTCGCTAAATATAAACAAGTGAGCGACGAAATTGAAAATTTAGGCTGGACAGATCGATAGAGAATTTCATTAGGAAGAATTTTAAAAAGGGAGCTTCAAATTTACTCGTAGACTGATTTGAAAAAAATAAGTCATTATATGTACCTATTGTACGGCGTGACAAAACAAGCGATCCACCGATCGCGAACATCAACGTCACTGATGGCTCCTTTCACCCGAAGATTACAAAAGAGATTGTGTATACATATAAACTATGAACATGGGTGGTTAGATTTTCAAAGATTCGTACGCCTAGCTGCTGGTTCTTCTCTAAACTTGAACGGTCTAAAGTAAATTAATTCGTTTGAAACAACCATCCTAGCCATTGTCTGTTCTGGCTAGCTATAGAATCTTAACCCTTTACACTCCAAGACACTTATATTATAAATGAGTAAAGACTACAAGAATCTTTGCTGTGTCACTTTTGAAATGCATAAACGGTGCTTTTCGAATAAAGATTGGCGAGTGGTCATAATTTAAAGTTCATTCGTTGATTTGGTTTGTATTTTGATAAACAAACATTGCATATTGCGATGTTGTTTACAGTGATTCATAAGTTTGTTCGCAAATGGCTGTCACCTGTATTTGGTCAAATTTGATAAAAATTATGATAAGGAGAATATATAAGTATAAATTGCATAACAGTTTTGACAGTTAATTGTTATTTCAGAAGTCTGTGAACGAATGTGTGAGTCACTGTATGTCGCCGTCGCAGAACCAATGGAATGCAAAGGGTTAACATTCGGACAGACAAAAAAATAAAATTGCTACAATGTGTCAATCAGTTCGTATCCACGAATATAAGACAGAGTCACGATCATCGAGTCAAACCTACAATGGCGTTCGCGCAATCTTGGCGTCGCTCTTCACTTTCTCTCTCTCTCTTTCTTCCGTATATATACTTTCAAAACCACATTATATCGCGGCCAACAATTATTATTGCGAAAGCCTTAAGGCTCGATACAAGGACAGGCGTTTCGCGATATTCCCTAAGCGTACCGAGACTGTCCGCATCGACGACAGATCCGTTTCGAACTCTGAAATAACGATGGGACCACGATATTCTTGCTTGAATGCTTTTAAACAAATGAATTTATAATGTTTGCAAAAACTCAAATGATAGTTCGTTTCGTTTCTAACGCCTGAAATTGTCTCGAGACGGTTTAAATCCCATTACTATCGTCGAATATAAATCCCTTACCGCATCCACTCCCATATATGGGTACTTGATTTCAATGACTCAGAAATATAAAGAAATATTAGAATTTATGTAACTGATTCGTATGACTATTTATCAAATTAAAATTCCCTGCGGTAAGGGGTTAATAAAGAACAAGTTCGTTCGAATTTATAGCCAATTTCCAACAAATGTCCACTCGTCGATGCTTCGTTCTCGTTTTGGACCTTCCAACCATATTGGGTTGCGTTCAAAGGAGGGCGTCGATCGTCACGACGCCATCAAGCGGCTAATCAACAACGTTCTCACGTGTGTGCACACACACGGTGCATACCAATATATCAACACCCACGCAATTAAAGATCAATTCGCGCCCCTGTAGAACGAACACACACGCGCTCGAACACACTAAAAAGGTTCACCCTTGCTTCCTGCCTTGACTCTCGCCTCCTCCCTTTTTCTAGCTTAACGTCACGTAGATTATTCGTCTTTCTTTCTTTTTACTCTGCAGATAATTCGATTGTGTTCCCGATTGGACTTTCAGCGTTTTTTTTCTACCACTTACCTTACGCGAACGCATTCGTCTCTGTCATCGCGTCGTCGTCGTTTTCTAGAATTTACGGTTTTCTCTTTTTCATT